ACGACTGAGTCCTGGCGAGAGCTGGGCAGGCAGTCCGCTGATACCCTAGGGTTTGCCCTAGGGAGAGGTGGGGCTGTCACAATTACCTTGCTATTTGAGGTCAAGGGTTCGGCCCACTTATGTCCAAGAGTGGCCGAATCTCCTTTCTAGTTTTAGTTAAGTCGTGATCCTTTTCCCGATAGAATTTCGTTGGTCACTAGCCTATAAAAGGCTCACTTTGTACGAGAGAAAGGTTAGACACTTTTGATAATAAAATTTCAGTTTGTTCTCTTACAATTTCAAGAGTACATTCCTACTTGCTTGGCAAGGGTTATTTGAGCAATCGTGCTTGACGTCCTTGGTTGTTCATCCAGCCTATATACTTGAATAACCACTTCAATTGGAGTCACCATTCTACCGCCTTGAATCGAATTGAGTCGTCCCTCTTGGTTCTAGGTTCCACAATCCAAACGGTTGAGTATCCCTCTAGGTCCTTGGGCAATTGTGCTACGTGTCTCAGAACGAGTTGACCGAGGAGCGTATCATTCTCAAAAGTCAATCCAAACAACAAAAATTAAATTCATTCGATTCCTATACTTTCCCTTCCCTCCCATTCCCTCAATCCAAACTATGCCTTAGCTAGTTTTTTGGTTAATCAACTCTTTCATTTGTCAAGTTCAATTGTAATTAATTTAATTTTATTTTTCTTTTTTAAAAGTGATGTAATCCACATAGGGCAAAGGAGCATTTAATTCTCATAATTTTCTTTTTCTTTATTTTCTTTTATTTGTCCTTTAATTACTCTTTATTGTTATGGAATGTGATCCAGTGGGCCGCTAGCTCATTGCCTTCGAACTAATTATTTTGTTTTATTTCACTCTTATGTGCTATGCATGCTTTTTTGTATTTAGATATTTTTATACTAATTAATTACATTTTATGTGTTTTCCACTATATTAGCTCATTTTGGCCTTAAAATTAAAAGAATCAATTTAAACTAGCAATTGGTTTTGCTAGGTGTATGAGGTGTTTGAGTGTAAAACCTCACTCTTCTCCCTCATAAATATAGCTCCCGAATTCATTTTTCTAATTTTGACAGATCTAGAGTTGTCTAGTTAAAGGTTTTTAGTTGTCTTTTAAAGATAAAAAATTAATCTTTTTAGGTGACTCAATACAACTAAATCTAATATTGAGTGGCAACTTTAAATCGTTTAAAAACACTTTTTTTGACTCTAATGGGCCCAAACCCATCGTCTTTCCAGTTTAGTCCCTTTTTATTTTCCTTATCTTAGTTTTGAAATACCCAAAAATCAATTCAAACAATTCACAAATTTTTATCTTTTTATTTTTTAAAAAATAGGGTGTGACAAGTAACAAAATTGAGTCGAACTTGTACTAAAAAATTTTAGGCTCAAGTTTGAGGGAAATATATCGAGCATTTTTGTACATTTAATTTATTTTTGTTGTATTTAAGAAATTACTTCTAAAACCTTCTAAAAAAATACCTAGAACTGCTAATTCTTTTTTATCTGCTATCCAACTCTGTCACTTAATATATATCTGTCTTCTATCTCTTTTACATGTTCTTGTTTTCCCTTCTCGTTACTTCTTATTTCTCTTGCTTCCAGTGTTGTTAGATCCGGACCAGACCAGCAGTTCAACAACCAAACTGTGAACCGGCTTTCTTTTCGAAATGGTTTGTAGTATAAATTGCTTTGGTCAAAAAATAGTTAAACCGGTGACCTGATTCAACGGTTGATCTGGTTCTTAAACTTTCTTTCTTCTTTTTTCCAAACATAATTTGAGTTACCTAAATTGTAACAATTTCATTTATTAATAGGAATAAGAAAACGTCACCCGTTTATTGTAAATATCAAAATCACTCGCTTTACTAAATGATCTCTAAATCAAGATGTTTTCATCCTTATAATCTTATTAATTTAGTATCAGTGATTCCAACTTGTATTAATTTAGTTTTTCAAGTAGTTTTGGAAAATGAACATATTTTAACCATGAATTTACATTTTTATATATAATTATTAGATGTATAGTTGATTGCAAGTCTAATATTTTTGGAGCATTTTCCATGATTGGCCAAATATAACCCAAAAACTTAGCTTCAATATTTTTGAAACTTAAAAAAATAAAATAATTATAACATCATGCTGACGTCAGCGGGTTTTTGAGAACGGTCTGATTGATCCGACCAGTTGATCGCTGACCCAGTAGTTTAATTGAGTTGCTAGTTGGTCGGAGTTTAACAACATTGCTTGCTTCCCCTCTCCTGGCTCTTTCTCTCTCCATGTAATCGTATTATCTCTCTCTCTCTCTTCATTCTAGATTTTTAGTCCATTAACAAGAAGGGTAGCAAACCTAAATGGCTCTCAAACTATATAGTTTATCAACTTTTTACCTTCAAACTATTAAGTGCATACTTTTGACCCTCAAACTTGTAAAAGAGTATACCCTTCACCCTTTTGGCAAGAAATAATTTCAGAAATCTCCTCTAAGATTTATGGTATGTCACTTGACACATTTAAAGTTTCAAAAATATCACTCAACTCCCATATTAGTGAGATGGAACCATTTATCTCTATCATAACATATGAATTGACAAAATTATCTTCACTACTTTAACAATTTTTAGGCAAAACATTATGAAAAAAGAAAATTTTTAGGCAAAACATGTAAATACTATATTATAATCAACTTGGTAGAAATTTCAATATAAGATAACACAAAAGGGTAGAATTGGGACAAGAATATATATCTCTTTCTTTAAATGATTATTATAATAACAGTTTAATGATATAAAGGTGAAATTGTTACAAAAGGCATGGTTTTAGGAGAGGTTATTTATATTTTTGAAACTTTAGGAGTGCCAAGTAATATTAACATAAATCTTGGTAAAGTTTACAAGTTTGAGGGGCAAAAATATTCACTTAATAGTTGGAGGTCTAAAGTCAATTAATTTAATAGTTTGAGGGCCATCTAAATTTTTTGCCATAACAAGAATGACTAACCATCTCTCTCCATTGAAGCATCTTGAGAACACCATATTGATATAATGTAAATTTGTTGCTTTTGTAAATGCTAATCAAATGATGTCATGTAAATTTGGACACGCTGACATCATGGAAATCATTACATCTCAACACAAAGTTGTACTAGCTGTTTGTGATTGAGCGTTTGATAAAGTTGAAGTCTGAAAATTGAAATCTAAAGTCCGAATCCATTTAAGTTATTAGATTGTTAAGTACTAAATTTGATACATTTAAATGTACATCACATTCAATGATAAGTCAATAATTTATCACTTAATTTTGGAGGTAAGTTTTGTCTAGAAAATTCAGTGTCATTTAATTAATATAGATGTTTTATTTTTTGTTATCAAACGCATCTAAACATATTAAGATCTGAATACATTAAGTTAAAGTGCTAAACTGGATTATGAAATGGAGCCTAAAACTCACTAAAATCATTGTATGTTGTACATAAAGGTTCTGACCGGCAATTGTCTCTGCCATTTTCCCAGAATCTCCCCATCTATAACGTTCTAATAGTTTGTAAGTTGTATCCTTCACACAGTTTAATTTCTAAAGCAACCAATTTGGAGGGGAGGGGGGAATTAGTAAGCAAAACTATCTTTTATGGAAAATTTTAAATCAATATAAAATGTTTTCATTTTTTCTAAAATTTCATTGAAGATACATATGCAACTTTTTTGTGTTTAAGAGCCAATTTAACTAGTAGAGACATTACTTAGGTAACTATGAGACTACTAATTCAACTATCAGACACTTCATTTCCCCATCCACTTTTGTAGGATGTGTATGTATGGATGCATATATGTGTGTGTATGTATGTATATAATTTCCCAGTATTATATAATTTTTGGTAATCATTCACTTCGAAAATAATTAATTGGAAAAAAATGCATGTTCTCAATACTCTTTTGGTTATCCAGTAGGTTAATCATAATCACAGGCTTAGTTTCTACACAAGATTGATGACTATTTAGTTAACATTAGTTGATTAATACGACGAGAAAATTGGTCATCCGTGATAATATTTTTCGGTGACGAGCAGCCACGGATTTAAGGGGGGGCTGGTGGAGGCTTAAGCCCCCCCCCAAGCCGCCGGAAAACCCCCTATATATAAATTAGAGAGACTTTGGCATGCAAGCCCTGGATCAGTATCTTCATACTAAGTCTGTTGTAACTCCTCTATATAATTCTCCTTCGCTTTGACCGACTGGGGGAATGGCTTTCCTGTTGCAGGAAACGCGAAATGCCTTCCTTGAGATGATGTAAAATTTCTCAGTGATGTTTACGGATTTCATATGGGATAGATCAGGACTTCTTTTTAAGGGGATAGGATCTCAAAAGAATGATTAACTATTATTACAATGGTCAATTTTTCAAGAAATTGTTACTGAGAACTAAAATGGTATAATTTTTTTTTTTTAAAAAAACCCAACTAAGCACTAAGGCTCCAGTTTAATGGTTAATTTTTCAAGAAATTGTTGCTAAAAACTAGAATGATATGTCCAACTATTTTTGTTTTTAGTCTCACGTCACATGCACATTCAGATAAGAAATATTACATTAATGTTGGCTGAAAACTCTTATAATAGCAAAATATAAATTGAATTTTTTCCACAATTGTAAAGAAAATTGTGTTAGAGTTACAATCTAACATTACTTCGTCTATCCTCTATGTGGGCTTCGGTGATTGGAATATTGGGAAATATACAAGATGATGCCACCACTTCTGACAATAGAGGTATGGCCAGGGGTTTGATTGATAGAATGAATGATTATGAGTTTGTTTTTGCATTGCACCTGATGAAGTATTTATTGGGAATCACAAATGACTTGTCACTTGTTTTACAACAAAGGGATCAAAATATTGTCCAAGCCATGAGTTTGATTGATACTATGAAATCTCAATTGCAAGACTTTAGGGAAGAGGGATAGCAAATAATTTTAGATGAAGTCAACAATTTTTGTGAGTTGAATATGATTCCCGTGATTGATATGGAAGACAGTATAGCAATCCGTGGCAATGCCAGGCGCAGTCGCAGAGGTCAAACCATCACTAATTTTCATCATTATCGCGTGGAAATTTTTTTTGAGGTATTATTTTTGAAATTATTATTTCATTACATTTGTTACTTGTTAGCAGATTTTCTTAGTTATTAATTTTATTATTGTTGTGATGTCAGGTTGTTGATTTAATTATACAAGAGATGAATAATCGTTTCTCGGAAGTTAGCACGGAATTGCTTAGTTGCATAGCATGTCTTGATCCAAAAAGTTCTTTCTCTCAATTCAATGTGCAGAAACTACTCCGTCTTGCTGATTTATATCCTGAAGACTTCTCAAGTAACGATTATTTATATCTTGAGTCTCAACTTCGAAATTATATTTATAATGTGCAACGCGATCCTCAATTTCCAGAAGTTGGAGATTTGGGAAGTCTTGCTCAACAAATGGTTAAAACTGGTAAAAATACAGTTTTTCCATTGGTTTATCGTCTGATCCAGTTGGCATTAGTTCTACCAGTTGTGACTGCTTCTGTTGAAAGAGTATTTTCTGCAATGAATATTGTCAAGACTGATTTGCGCAACAAAATGGGAGACGAGTGGATGAATGACTGTCTGGTTGTATACATTGAGAAGGATATTTTTGCAACAATTGAAAATGAGCAAATATTGCAGCGTTTTCAATGGATGAAGACTCGCAGAATGCAATTGCCTCCTCTTCGTTATTCGAGTGCAACAACTACCAATACTTCAAGTGTTAATCAATAACAAATTTTTGGGTATGTATAATTATATGTTTTTATTATTTTTATAATTATTGATTCTAAATTTTACTTATTAAATATATTTATTTCGTCACAAAAAAATTTTTTAATACACTTCAGCCCACCCAAAAATAAATTTCTGGCTCCATCCCTGGTGACGAGTCACAACTTTGCAGCCATCATAGGAGGAGATCCTTTATCCATGACATGAGCGCCGTGATTGGAGAGTACAATAGTGATTACCTGGTGAATCATCACTATTGCTAGTTCTTATTCTATGAGTCATTGATGTTGTGTTTGCATTATGTAGTGGCATCTTGTGGTTGCCATTATAACAATGAATAACCTTGTGATAATTGTGTGTACTCACTAAACCTGGCTTTGATACCACTAGGAGTAACCAGAGATCCAAATGAATTTCATTCAGAGCTAGCCATTCTTTTGTCCTTTCTAACAATCTTTTGACCCTTCTTTCTTTCATAAAATATCATAAGGATTTGAAGATAAGAGAACTATTTTAACGAGCCATGAAAGCAAGCACACCATTTCTTTTATTTCCAAGGATCTCTGCCTCCAGAGGCATACATTCCTTTCTTTTATAAGCAAACCATACAAGCAAATATGACATACTAGACAAATGAAAGGTCACTTAACCATTGGCCTTTTGACCTTTGAAAGGCCATTTTGGCTTTTAGACCCTGAAAGGTTACATGACTCTTAAAACATAAATTTAAAATGTGCTTTTATAATTATTGGCTCTTGGACTATAGAAAGGGTCACTTGACCTTAAATATCGATGTCTTCTTCTAATGGGTATTTGAGGGCGTGCTATCAGGATTAGTGATGCTGTAATCCTAATATCTTCTCTTATTTTGCCTTTTATTGGATACTATTTTAGCTTCAGTCTTACTTTTGTAGCATGTTTGATTGGGACCAGTTGGATAAGGATTTTATGCATCTTGCATTGCATTGTCTACCATGAGATTACCATAGTCATTCTTGGCTTTGGCCACGCATTGCCAGTGAGGATGGGAAGATGAAAAATTCCATGAACCATATGAACCAGGCAAGAATTCTAGTGGGACATTGCAATTCTCTTGAAAGTATATCTCCGGGCCTTAGTATATTCCTGTTCTTGATCAAGGATAGTGTGATAACTCTGTTTGTAGACTGTGGTCCACGGCTAAGTTTGAAATTTTTTCGTCTTGAATGTGAACTTCTCTATAAAAATGAATGATCAAATATCCAGAGTTTTGTGAAATCAAATCAGTCCAAAAATATACTAGCTTGAACTATTGCAAAAATATTTCGAGATTTAGATGAAGAGAATTTGTATCTTTGAAAAATAGACAGTGTAATTCCATCAGAATGTGAAACTGTAAACATAAGTACTAGAAGAACCAAAGAAGAGATTGAGGGAAAAATCCTGTTTGAGTGATAAAGATTTGCGCAAAAGGATAATGAGGATTTGCTTCTTAAGTATTCAAAATTAATCCTCCATAATTGCTGAATAGCTCAATTTCATGATTCATTCTGAGTCTTTCTAGATCTTTCTTTTACCATGGGAGAAAAGGTCAAGAGGGTATGATTGAAGTTCAGGGGTGAACATCATACATGCAACTGGTGATAGGGTTCTTTAGAAAAAAATCAGCAACAATGTCGAATTTCCCTTTGATGTGCTTTACTTTGAAATTGTATTAGAAAAACCAATTTGCCCATCTGAGGAGTTAGGGGTTTGGGATCATTTTTTGTTTGAACTGTATCATTCTTGGAAAACTCATATCCATTTCTATCTAGAAATTGTGAGATATGAGATGGAATGAAAACTTTTTATCCCATTTTTTATAGCTAAATCTCTTTGAAAAAGAGTGATAATGTTGTTCTGAAGGCATGAATTTGCCACTAGCAAAATCACAACATTTTCAAATACCATTACCAATATCTTCCAAAAGGATAGCTCCCTAATACTTGTCACCAGCATCAGTTTGAAGAATTGTCTTACCAGTATTAGGAATATGTAGAGTGGGGAGATTTTGTAATTGTGTTTTTAGGTTTCTGACGGATTAGGTTTGACTTTTTCCCTAAGATGGTGAGTCTTTTCTTAATATTTTTGTCAAAGAATTGATGAGTTGATAGGCTTGAGGAATGAAGTTTCGGACATAATTAACAATTTCGAGAAATTGTTGAATCTGGGTTTTGGATAGGTTTCCTTCAGGGAAATAGATTCTCCAATGTGTTATTCTGGGGTACAAGATCCATCAGATACCTTTATTCCAAAAAAATTGATTTCTTTTTGAGCTAAAATCATATTCTTTTCAGACAACTTGACTCCAAAATTTTTAACAATATTTGCAAACCGATATAACAACTTAATATGTTTCTCAAAAGTGGAACTAAATCACAAAATATCATCAATATATATATATATATATATCAGAGGTGAGTGAAGAATAGGCTAGAAAATTTGAATCATTGCTTTTTGGAAAAGCGAAGGATCAATGTTTAGCCCAAGGGCATGACTGTCCATTGGAAATGATGATTTGGGATACAAAATCTAGTTTTGTATATATCTTCACTATGAATACCAAGTTGCCAAAAATCAGATTTTAGATCAAACTTAGAAAATCACTTGGCAGTTGAAATTTGTAAATATACAGAGAGTCTGTTAGGTATAAGAAATTTATCGTTCGTTGAAAATTGATTTAATGGCTAATAATTTATAACAAGTCTAAACTGGTTTCTTGTTCAGATCTCTTATTGACATAAATAGCTTGACGAAACCAATGGGAATCAAACTTTTCAATGACTTCAAATTCAAGAAGCTCAGAACATTCTTTCTCAGCAAGTTTGGAATGCTTAGGATTCATCCCAAGGTGGCTAGTTCGTGGGATTTATATCCTCATTCCTTTTGGAAGGAAGCTTCATAAAGAAATCATAATTTTTCCAAAGATGGTGGTTACATTTAGTGAGAAAGTCTTTGTGATCCTCAGCACAAGATTGTTGAATAATTAGGGCCTTGAAGACATTAATTTATTCAGAAGTTCGTGAGGTTGAAAATATATTTTTGCAACATCAGTATGCTCCTTGAAGAATTTCTTTGATTTAATACCATTAGGCATTAATAGAAAATCTCCCTTCTTATAGAAATCAAATCCTATGATGATGTCTTTACCTATGAAATCAGCTCCAAGGATATGGGTCTGAATTCTACAATCAAGTAAAAGTTAGATGATGATAGGGTTTTTTGTTACAATATTGGTTTCAAATAATTCTCCGTTTGCTGCTCGAAACTTGTGAATTTCCTTTTACAGTATTGTGAAGGAAGGATTTTTGGTTTAAATTGACATTGATTCTCCTGAATTAAAAAAACTATGGCCAAGATGGGTTTATTTTCTTGGTAGGAAGAATATAAACAATTGTCTGAGAATAAGTTTTTGCAGAGTTTAATTCCTTATAGTTATAACTGCAAGGATAATCTTCTCAGAATACCTGCAAAACCAAAAGAGTATTGCCAGTAGGCTCCTCTTTCTCAGATAATATAGACTCAAGATCGTCAAGAATATGAATCTTTAATTGATCTATAATTTCTTAAATTAAATTAACCCTCTTTTTGTTTTGAGGATAATTCTTTGCATAATGTCCTTTTTTGTGGCAAATGAAGCATCTTCCATCCTTTTGATCTCCTTTCTTATTAAAAGATTTTTTCCCCTAAAATATCTCCATATAGTCCTCTTGTATGGAGATTTCTCAGCAACTATGAACTTTTTGAATCTTTTCTTGAACTTTTCTTTTGGAGTTTTACATGTGAAACATCTTCATTTTGTTTCTAGTTCAGGCTTCATACAAGCTTGGTCAATGCTTACATCTCTCTTCAAATATTCTCTTACTATTCTTCTTTTATGGCACAAGTCTTCTAGGGCCAAGAAGATGGACTGCTGGATTTGTCCTGCAGAAAGATTCAAAATGGAATATATTTGTTATGTATGTATAATTCAGCTCCATTAGCTAGTGTTTTGGGAGAGAGCTTAAAAAGGTTTGCTTTAAATTAATATCTACTTTGTGAGGACTCGCAAATTTCTTATATTTTCTCAAATATGCCTTTTTATTTAGAAATTATTCCTTTATTATAGCCCTACTACCCAATCATTCTCCAATAAGTGCAAATGAACCTAGAAAGTAGGGTTTCACTCTTCGTTTTCAAAATTGGAGCAAATTAGGGTTTTCACGATTTTCGCCGGATGATTTTTCGGTACGGAGCGAGGATCAAATTTGGTGATTAAAAGTGACTTTTAAGTGAGAAATAATATGTGATTAGGAGCAATGATATAAGGTTAGTGAATAGGAAGTAAAAACCCTAGTACGGGTGTTTTAAAGAAAAACGGTGTGAACCGACGTGTACCGCACACTACCGATTGAACACACCACTGGACCACCACTTTCTTACCACATGAGCTTATTGATATTTGAGCAAAATATTCCTTCATTTCCAGCTGCCTTTGACCGAAATTTGTGGCCAAAAATGTAAGGGAGAGAGAGAAAAATTTGCATGGCTTTGGTGGCGCCAAGTGTCACCACCTCATGGCTCCTTAATTAATTTTTTTTTCTTGCCTTTTTATCCTTCACTTCAGCCATCTTTCTTCTTCATTTTTTCTGGTCTTGGCCAAGCAAGAGAGAGAGAAAGGGAGAGCAAGAGAAAACAAATTCCTTCTTGATTTACACCAACCAAGTGCTAAAATCGAATTCTAAACCGATTGATTGTAAGTTTGGAAGCTTGGGAAGCTAAGGGAACCAAAAACTTCAAGAAATAGTGGAGGATCACTCTTGCAAGCCTTCTTTTTGAGGTATAAAATCTGATCTATGGCTTTGATCCTTTTCTTCTTGTTTAAGATGTTAAATAGTCCATGTTTTGGGTTTGATTACAAGTGATGCTAGTTGTTGTGGTGATTTTTGGATGAAATATGTAAGTTAGAGTTTGATTAATTTCTGCCTAAACTTGTTGTATAG